AAGAAAAGCAGAAGAGTTATAAGAAGAAGAAGAAGAAGAAGAAGAAGAAGAAGAAGATGAGAGGGGGAGGAGGAGGAGAAGAAGAAGCAGAAGAATAAGAGGAGGAGGAGGAGGAGGAGGGAAGAAGAAGAAGAAGAAGAAGAAGAGACGGGCGACGGCAGTCCCAGGCGCCGGCGACGACGGGCAGCTGCTTCGACGGGCGACGGTGCTCCCACGCGATGGCGACGGCACTCCTAGGCGACGGGCGACGACGGGCAGCTGCTTCGACGAAAGGACGAACGCGGCGGCTGGAGCAGGGGCCCCATTTGGAAAGCGAATGCAGACCTCCCCAGCCACTCGCTTGTTCAAACGGGGCCTCCTTTTTCCCTGATCGACGGCCGGAGGGCCGTCCGAACTTCAAAAAAAAAAAGCAGGCCTCATCGGCCCGACGCGCCGTTTTCTCGGCGCGGTCGGACCCGGTAGGCCTTGCCGACGTCCAAAGTGGCCGATTCGGGGTCGGAAAACCCCACTGGGCAGGTGTGCTGGGGGGGCCCGGCCCCAAACCGGACCGCCCGCCCGGCCAGGCCGCCCGGGACCTCCCCCGGGCAGGCGCTGGTCGGCCGGGCGGCCCGGATCCGTACTCAGCTTTTTTCAAGTTTTTTGAAGTCTTTTGACTCTTTTCATGTTTTTGGGAAGAGTCACTGAGATTTTTGTCAGCAGTGTTGCTATGCAGATTTCTTGCTAGATGTGCGACATCCAGGAGTTACGACTCTCCTCTAGATGCAGACTGGTGAAATCAGCTTTCCCTGCCTTCTTTCCGATCAGAGCTGTTTCTGATAGAAAAGGTGACGCCTAGGAAATGCAGCAAGCTGACTGTGTGAACCCAGTGGCATTTTGAAAAGAAAAGAAAAAGACAAAAGAAACCGTTGGAATTGGCTGACAAAAGGCAATTGAAAGCTCCTTTAGAGCAGCATCAAGTTTTTCCTGTAGGGCCTTACGGGATTAGTTAATGCCCCTGTCAGGGTGTAGGTGGATATGCAGTGAGTCAGGTGCATACCATGGACCTGGCTCACCGCATGTCCTAATGAATTCTGACCGGGGGCAGTTGGTTCAGTCGAGTTTTTTTTTCAGAGTTATGAGGCCGCCTTCTCTGAATTTCATATCGAAACTCTGACACCTGCAGCTGAAACTGCACATTCCCGTCATGATATGCATGCATGCAGGCCTGCGTAGTGCACACATAGCATAGCCTCCATTAGGCTGTGTGTGTGTTATGCAGGCTAGGCTAGCAGTCATTGAGTCATTTTTGGGGTTTGCTGAGGCCTTCTTTTTCATATTCTTCAAGTTCTGACGCGTGCAGTCTGAAAATTATTCCCCACTTATGATGTGCTCATATGAAGGCCTGCATAGTGTACTTAGCCAAGTGTCCATTACCCTATGTGTGTGCTATGCAGGCTTGCATGTACACATATCATAACAGGTACGCAAGGTTTGAGCTTGTCGTTTCAGAGAATTTCCGTATGATAATTTGGCTAGAAAAACTGAGAGACCCTTGAAAATTGATCCATGACAGAACGGCCCCTGCCAAAATTGGGGACATCAAGTGAGTAATGTGGTACACTGACTGAGTGCATGCACCTGACTCACTGTCCATCTGTGTACACTCTGGGAGAGGCAGTGTTGTCATCCGTCAAATGGCTATAGATACCAACGTTTTCACAGATCTCTATGCTTTGATAGGAACTGGAAGTTCTGAAACTGGCTGGTATGCTACCATAGTGAAGGTATCTCTCATTTTTTTATATCTTGAATCTTGGATATGTTTTGTTTTGGCTTCTTTTGTAGGTTTCCGTAGTTTAATATGCCAGCTTTCCGGCTCATCAAGGTCTTCTCTGGCAAAGTTTATATCCAAATTCTGACACAGGAAGCTCGAATTTCAAATCCCTGTTACGATGTGGACATAGCACATATGCAGAACTGCATAATATGCACATAGTGTATGTGCTATGTGGTAGATATATAGCGCACATAGTACACACATATAGCCTGCATACTGCACAAACGCATTTTGGCCGTGCCAAAGGCCCTTTACTGAGTGAAGCCAATCCTCAAACGTTAACAAAGCCTTGCAAGACACTGGAGCAGTAGAAAACAGTCTCTCAAACAGTTGTGGTTGGGGAAAAGACCTTGAGGAACGGGTTTAGCCCCCATTATTGTTGTACTGAACAGGAGTGGAACTTGTGATCTGTTTCTCAACAGTTAACAAGCATACATGTGGCGCATCGAGGTGTGGTGTGCGGGGTGGGTGGGTGGCAGAGGGGGGTCATAGTTTGTGAAGCAAAAAATGGAAACAAAACTCAAGGATGACATGGACAGATTTTGAGAAACATAGTTCATGATTCGAAAAATTGAAACAGAACTCAAGGATGACATGGATAGATTGAGAAACATAGTGCATGAAGCRAAAATTTGAAACAAAACTCAGGATGACATGTACAGATCGAGATACACAGTGTGTGAAGCAAAAACTCGAAACAAAATTGGAGGAGGACACACACACATTGAGAAACAAATTCAAACAATCCTATTTCGAGAAAGAAAAACAAAAACAGAAAAGTGAAAACGTTCGTATGCTTGGAAAACGCCCTGGCCACAATAACGGCAAGATCCATGGCGTTTTCAAGGATGGGTGCATCTCTCTATCTCTGTCTGTCTCTGACCCCCTGACACATGCTGTCCGATAAGGACAGTATGTGTCACGGAGTCAGACAGAGCACACACACACACACACACACACACGCACACACACACACACACACACACACACACACACACACACACACACACACACACACACACAGAGAGAGAGAGAGAGAGAGAGAGAGGGAGCATGGAAAGGAAAATGCAACGATGACATGGAGAAGTACAG